CCAATGAGAGCTCGGACGACGACGTGCCGGTGGATCGCTTGGCGTGTGTCGATGGTAGCGAAAATAACGACGAGCGCATGCTGGACGGGCGTCCGATGCAGGAGCTGCTGACGGTAACGCGGCGCCCCACGACGGCGGCGCCTGCTGCTGACCGCCTCTGGTTTGCGCTGAAACACCGCCTTGACGTTGCGTCGGCGCTGTATGCTGGCGAGGCGGCGCCCAAGCGTCTTGCGCGTCAGCCCCGCGTTCTGGATGGACCCATTGGCATGGACGTGTTGCTGTCGCTGCTGGCGTTGCGGACGCCGGTGGCGCGCGCGGATGTGTACCGCCACTTGCTCGACCGACGCTACCTCGTGCCGTGTGTGCGCCCGGGCGTCGACGGCGACACGCTGCGCCTCGATGCGATCGCACTGGAGCTTGTGGAGACGCGCCTCGAGCGCGGCATGACGTCGTCGCTCTTGCGCAACACGGCGGCGCTGCGCGTCGCGATCGTCTCGGAGCGGCCGCCCAAGGCGAGCGCCACGAAAGACTGGATCCAGAACGTTTTTCACGTCAACTCGGTGCAGTGTTTGGACCGTGGACGCGGGCGCGTCACGGAGCACGGCGGACTTGTGGAGCTGGGCTGGGGCTTTGTGCACGACGCGACCGATGCGACCACCGCGCTGGTGCTGCATGTCGTGGGCGACTACATGCCGTGGATGCCGCTGCTGGCGACATTTGCCGACGTGCTTTTGATCGACGCGGGGCCCGGTGAGGCGCGCGCGACCCCGTTGGCGCACGGTGTCGCGCTGCACTGGCGCCACGCCGACGACGACGGCGACGACCCGCTCGTTTACGACGAGGCACATGCGACGGTGACGCTGGCGTGTCCCATGAGCGCGACCTACGCTGTCCTCACCGACTACCTCTTGCACGAGCCGTGGCCGTCGTCGCGGGTTCCGATTGGGATGCTGGCGCTGCCACCACACGTGGGCTGCCTGCCGAGCCTTGGGCTGACGGAGGCGATCGACGCGGTGGCAGCAACCGACTTTGGCACTCTGCGCACGCACACGCTTTTGCTGCAGCGCTATTTTGTGCAAGAAGCGGCGCTGCGCGTGGCGCTGCAGCGGGAGACGAGCGTGCCCGAGCAGCAGCGTCTCCGCCAGCAACTCGCCGACCTCTTTGAGTTGCACAAACCCGCGGCCCATCGCGCGCGCCACCTCCCGCTCGTGCGCTACTTTGTGTCGGTGCTTCAGCAGCCGTCGGCGGCGTCGCGCGAGCTGCGACTCGTGGACTTGGATCGCCGCCTCGCACGCAGCTGCGAAGGCCTCTCGGCGAGCGCGGAGCAGCGTTACCGCGACGCGGCAATCGCGCGAAGCAACGACCCTGACAACCAAGACGCGCGGGCAGCGTATGCCGATGCGCTGCAGCATTGGAGCCTCATGGTGACGGGGGCGTCGGAACACGTCTGGCGCGAGCTCTCG